TACTTAAATTGAGGGGTTTATAAGAGCACATTGTTACGGGAGCTGCCTCTAGGGTCACGTGGAAGTGTCTAGAGTTCTCTCGAGGTGGTTTAGACTAAACTTCAAGTAGGAATTCAATAAGGTTGGTAACTGGTTGCAATTCTCGTAACTATAGTAATGAAACTAATGATTGTTCTTGAGCACGAAGCTCTACATTGTAATGAAACCCATTCCCTTATATAGACCTTCGTTCTCTGTGCTCAGTCGGATCACAAATGATCCTTCTGATCCGATCAACTGGATCACTAATGATCCCTCTGATCCGGTTACCTAAGCGTCGGGGTCACGTGACGTCTATTGTGGCAGACCATCGTAACACACATATCAATTATATCTCAAAGATCGAATTCTTTATAGCTTTCAAAACTGTATATCAACGATCAATTATAAATCAGAATATAAAAGCTGGGTTTCGAGGAGTAGGATTAGTTCCATTTGATCCTGAAATAATGCTTTTTAAATTAGATATTCGAATTTATATGCCTATTCCCCCCCCCTTTCAATTTAGATCTCTGGGTCTCTCAAACTCCTCATAATCCTATAAAAGCTCTTTCTTAATTAACACTAGTTAAATCTCGAATAACTCATCATCAATCAAGTTCTCCTACACCTTTATTTGAAACTATACTAATTCTAGCTAAGGGTATAGAGAGACTAATATATAAGAATACACTTTTAAGTGTAGAAAACCGTACATTTCGAAAAGCTAATGAAGCATTAAGCCAATATCGACGTGCAAAAAAGACATAAATATGTCAAGGAGGAGTATTTACTGGACAAAAGGCTATGGATATATTATCTCAATAAGAAGTTGATATTCAGATTCGACACAACAAGTATCAAAATGAAGGGAATTCTAATAGGAAAGCATTTTCTAGTTAATGTTGTAGTAATTGTGGAAAGACAGATTATAATACAAGAACTTGTTAAATTGATATAATAAATTCTAGATTATTAGATTCTTAATAGCTTTAATCAATTGAATCAATAGTTGTTGAATAATATGAATTTGAATGTGTCAATTGAGGTGAAAGTGATTCATTCGGTGATATGATCCACTCGGTGATGAATCACGTTATGTTTTCCACTTGTCAGTTGTCACTAAATGCCTCCATATTACATCGTCAAGTGACGACTATAATCCCATTTCAAAGTCAATTCGGGCCCTCGATGGTCGAGCTCTCAAATTTGTGAGCAAATTGTCAAGCTATGGTGTGAGATCATTTACTGCCTACCATCTTTTGACAAGGAACGAAATCAACATGGAATTTTATCTTGAACCCCATTGTCTTGACACAAAACTGTGATGGATATGATCATATGATCATTTCATATAAGTACATAAAGCGCGGGCTTTTATTGGCCCTTAAAAAAATGCGTGCCCGTTTGCTGTAACGATCTGAACAGATGGTGTCAACACAGTTACAACTGATCGAGGAATTTGGTCGGAATAATTTTAGTCCTCACCATGAGTGTGTATATTAATACGCCAGAACGAGCATAATAAGAAGACTACATTTCAGCGATGTTCATTTGCTATCTATCGGTTGTGACAGACATGTATCTCCCGGAATCTAGAGGGGAAAAACTCGATATTTAACAGACTTGGAGTTTTATGATCACATCTCGCTAATACCACCTTCATAGGAGGAATTGGCATTCTACTAGGCAGAAAATCATCGCTGTGTAAATATCTCGCAGCGATTCAAATCCCAGTATAAGTTCAATTGGAATATGAATCGTTTATGATTAAAGTCAAACTTTAAGCCCCCCGGAGAATCTACCCAGGTGTACTCAAGCGAATAGGCCGAACCCTACACTAGCTTTTACGAGAATTTCCCTGCATCTTCGTACCTTAACTTATCTTTGATCATGATGACTCCAAGCTTTTGACAGTTTGTTTTGACTGTCGCATCGAACAACCTCTGAGACGAATTATACAGCTACGGACGGACGCCGGCCGCATCTCCTTGGGCGTTGTTCAAGACATAACTTCTGGTAACACCGCTCCAAGATACCTACGGCAAAAGGTAAAAGACTCTTCTACATACGTGCCAGCCTACATCCTGGATGGATAGGCTTCTGAATAATGCATCTCCTTATACCGCACACTACTCTGCTTGCAGCTAGCTTTACCTTTTTTTATGGCAGAGTCAAGTTGAGGAAAGGTTGTAGAACAGGGGCTAACTCAAAACTTCCCGGCAGTGTGTATTCCAAGCAAAACATTTCTTGAGACTCTCAATTTTAGTCAAGCTTACAAACACTTCGAGCAGAGCATCGAAAACAAGAGGCATTGTTGTTCCACTTTCGCCGTTCCCCCCTCTTCTGGAGAGCAGAATGTGAAAGGTTCCTTATTACCAAGTATTAGGTGTAGGAGGGAGTGGCCAATTTCCCTTGGCATAAACTTGGAAAGAAAACGTTCAAATGAATTTAGGTTGAGAGAAAAAATGAATAGTAGAAGCTGAAATCGTGAGGGAGAAAGAGGCGATGATTTTATGTTGCTCTTTGGTTACATAATTATTTGGAACATTTCATCGATCTGAATTTGTACAACTTAAGTCTTATGCGCTTTTCGATATGTTTTTTTCTTTGGTATAAACAGTCACCCGCTCCAAACATTTGCTTCTTCTGGGACATTAATGGAATGATCAATATACTAATTTTAGAGGGAGGAGAAAGAGGTCCATTCTTAAACCATAAGGAAGAGAGAGGCGGGGAATGGGGGATGCAGAACTCGGAAGAGAAAGAGCGAAACATTGAGAAGACCACGATCTCTTAAAAAGCAGCATTAGAATGATACGTCAAGAGGCCGGAGTCAGATTTGAAATTCTTGCTCTTCGAAATCGTCCAGCTTTTGGCGAGTATCACGGCCAAGATGTAGGCGAGAGAGACAAAGAAGGGAAATACGAACATGATCACTCACCAAGAGGATGACAAAACTTCGCTACAACAGATAACACCCTTGAAACATGATTCTATCCTTACAGACGTTCGTATGATATGACCGAAAGATTAATTGGGTGTAACCCGCATCGTACAATCAAGTCATACTGCGGCCTTATCTGTGATGTCTTACTTCAAGAAGCGCATGAATACCGCATGGAGCGAATTGGAAATCAATGAGATCATGTCAGGCCATACAACAAAAGCCATATTTACGTTAAATAGGGGTAGGTGCAATATATTTCGGATTCCGGGTCATTGCCGATTATTGTCCTCGGGTGGGGATCCACGTAACCCCGACTTAAAATAGACTAGAATTCCACACTACAACGTTGATCTGATACATCTCAAGCCAATGATAATCAATGGCAGTTCCAGGAGGATGGATTGAATCATCTGCATAGACCCATCCTCCCAATACCATGGTTCTGGGCACGTTGCAGATTCCGTGCATCGGTTAATAGTGGAAACATGCGGTGAGAATTCAATCCTTGTGTCTTGCACATTTTGATCCTCCGCAAAGCAATCACTTTGTCTCCGAGTGGACCGTTGAATATTTCTGTCTTTACATCAAAGTTGAATTCCTTACAAGACTCAGGAAATGAATACTAGTCTGATTATTTTGCATGCATGCCGAGATTATGGCGTTGGTCACCAGCAGTCACTGTGTGGGCTTTAAGCGAGTGTAAAGGTTTCGAGATATAAAAGTTTGGATTTCCAAAGCCATAATTATGAGATAAATGTGTCTCACTAAATTAGTGTCACTTCTAGAGCAAAATGGTTGTTCAAGTGGTCTCTGAACCTTCAAAGTTTGATCAATCGCGCTTCCTCAACGATATACAAATCCTCTCAGCTGCGATCAACGCACCATATTCCGAGTCCACAACCAAAAAGATTCTCTCTGTCTTCTCCGATTCATTCCATGGCGGTGTTGTTCTATGGCGTGCAACAGACCGTCTAGGTGATGCTTTAAATTATCGCTTTTATTCCCGGAGACCCATAGATACTGTTACCATTGCCTCATCCGCCGATCTTCTGTCTCCGGATGTCGTCAGTACCCTTGGGAGATTAGTTACATCCTGGAGCTCGTTGTATGATGGCTTACCAGAAGAATCATGTGATTTCGACGCCGAGAAGGGTTTGGTAAAAGCGTGGGTGTACTTGAGAGGCATGAGACCACTCGGCGATATCCTGAGCGCAGAGGGCGTGCCAGAGAGCTTAAGACAACATGAGGGGAGATTTAAGGCGCTGCAGTTGGAGAGGGTTCGTCATGTGGCGGTCGACTACCAAAAGAGAACTGTGAATTTATATTTTCGGGCCCAGGGGCCTATTTCCCTACAACAAGCTACCTCGTTTAACGCATTAGCTGGTGCAGAACCACCGAGTCAAACACAGTTCCTTGAAATACACGAATTCCTCAACGCAGTGGGGTATACATTCGCGGTTACAATCAAGGTTGATAGCGGAGAAATTGAGAGGGTGGGCTATTATGCATTGAAATTGCCAGATAGAGCGGCGAAAAGGTGGCCTGTGATTAATGCGCAGTTGGAGAAGTTTGTGCAATTCGCACCTAGTTATGATATGGAAGAGATGAATGCCGTGGCCTGGAGTTTTGCAGGGACAAAGAGGTATATCAAGTTCGAGAGGAGCTATTGTGGGGAATTGGTGCCCCTGATTAAAGGCTGGGGGACTACTTTAAGTTCATAGTTAATCTTTTTTCTTATTTGGGATAGTTCTATTTTCGTCATTTTAGAATACTAACATATAAGATTTTGGTTCTGGATAAGTTACACAGTCATTATGATGATCAACCATGTAACCAATTTCCAGTCACGCTAAGAGGTCAAGTTGTAATCAACGCACAGACCACTGTACACTCCACCCGTGCATCTCGTAATTATTGCAGGAAGGAAATGGTGAACTTTCAATCCGAAACACCACGATCTCCCCTCCCGGCTTGGAGCTATTGATTCACCCATTTCTCATTGTCCCTTCTTTCGATTGTTTCAATAATTCTTTTACATCTTTCCAGCGGCAGCCAATTCATATCTCCTTGCCAAAGCCATTTGCACCTGCGCAAATTTCTGGGCAGGCCCCGTTGCGTATTCGAAATTTTGGACGGAAGAGGCTATCTTATAAATCGTCCTGCCTAATCTCGAATCCAGAATTCCATGGTCTGATCGACCTTGATTCGACGCACAAGCAATGATAGATACCCAATACAATATGCCTAGCACGTCCCCCCAAGTTTCGTCAAGATCCGTTCTTTCTATGGCGCAAATCATTGCCGATGTGAGGTACTCGTCGCTTGAAGGAAGAGGGGTGCAAGTTTCCATGGCTTGAAATATTATGAGAGTAGCAAGTCTACAGCATTCGAAAACCCAGTACTGGGATGTCAGGTTAGAAGCATCCATTTTGACAGTACCCGATGGTAAAGAGTGCAAGGCTGCAGATAAGCGGCTTTGGTAATTGGCATTATCGACCGTTTGCTCAGATCCCCCAATAATAAGGTCGACCAAATCCTTGGCGATGTATAGAACCTGGACTAGGGAGTCGTCGAATCCTCTGAACTGTCTGACAGACTCAAATGAGCCAGATGGACAATATAACGGGGATATAAATCGCCGACATTGAGGTTCATTCTCTTTCAAACGAACCAAAGAATTGCTGAAGCTCAGAGGAAGCTCTTCGGCCCTGATAGCCTTTGCAATGATGTGACGCCTTATGTCTACATTAATCACAGAACTAGTATTCGCTTAGGGTAGCTGGCTTACATCACTAGGTACTTTCGGATTGTTTGCCCAAATGGATAAACTCCAAAGCTCTCTAATCCTTGTCTCTTAACCAACAACTCTACGCCCGTCATCTGTGCCTCGACTTCCTGTGCATTGCGTTCAATTGCCTATAATATCATCATTAGCCGTCCAATATTCCACCTCCGATACCCCTCACTTACCCAACTACCTGTTGAAAAATAGGCTATTGAGGCTATTGTAGCATTGGACCACAATGTCCCTTCTTGAGCTAGTTTCTGACCAACTTGTGCAATAGCTGCATCTCTCAATCCCGTAGCCAGCTCATCATTTACCATTCCTCGGACCGAGCATGAATAGGCATACATCATATAAATGATGCTCGTCGATAAGGCTTGTCCGGCAGCTTTTGGGAAATCAAGTAATTTCTCGGGCCCTGGCGAACAAAATCTCAAAGCTGTATCAATATTTAGCTCTCGACACAAGATTTATAATCATGGGCTTCACAACCACTTCGGGAAGTCATGACGCGACGCACCAAGTTGTTTAATTGTACCCACCTCTCGGGAGTATTTGAAAGTTACATCAGGTGGCGGATGGGGTGCGGAGCTCAAAGAGTCGGGCTGAGCGGGCACAAACGCGAATAATGATGGCAGTCCCACCTGGGTGACTTCAAGTGAAGTGTTATTCCTGTATCCGTACTGGTGGTTCTCGGTGCAAGTTTCAGGAATTGGATCAAGTGTGTTACAAGCGAATGGTTTTACGTGCGATGAGCTTGCTAGACTAAGATCAGACTTTGCAAAGTCGCAGATGCGTTCAATTGGCACAATTTTCCTCGCGCCAACTTTTCTTTTAGCTTTCTGCTGACGCTGCTTATTTCGAAAAGCATACATCGCATGCGATCGTATCAAGCTTTGGGTTGTTCGATCCTTTGCCCGACCAGAGACGAACTGTATAGGCATAGGTCCCTCTTCGGACGTTGACTCTTGCACAGACATGTTGAACGATTCTGGTATATCTTTCATGCTGTCAAGGTAATTCCTGGCGCATCGATCATGGTTTTTGAAATCTTTTGATTAGAAACTCTCGCTGTCAATAGCTCTGCAATCTTCGGTTCCAACGCAAATTGAGATAGGTTCTGAGGGATTTGGGGCAGTATTTCAGCTCGAAATAATATCATCGACATCGGGATGAAAAAAAGAATCAAGCATGAGATGATTAGGCGCAAGTGTGGATGGTACAGTCCCTTTTCGTAAGAATAGTTAAACGCCTTTCTTGTTCATGGATCTTTTCTTAAGGTTGGGCAATTTTAGTCTAATTTTAAGTTACAGTGTGTTGATGGGGTATGATTCACTTTCGCTGAGAGCATAACGTTGGGGGCTGCTAGACTTCAAGCTTGTTTCTTTCCATGCTCAACGATCCAGGGGCAACTCGGATTACCGCAACCAAATGGCATTGTCATTCTTTGCACGCTGCTTTTTCTGACATGATGATGTCAATTGACAGCCACTCTTCTATCCTGTTTGATAGTTATACACTGGAGATTGCAACCCCGTTCAAAGCCATGCTAAAAGTGACAGTCAATAACGTAGGATGTGCCAACATCTAGATTTCTTCTCCTTACACCGGTAATCTGTTCCGCCAGTTGATTTCAATATCTCTTGACCAATATTCAAGACCCGTCAAAAACATATGCTGCATCTGTCTACCAAACTTTGCGTGCTTCGACGTCATGTGGGTTGCATCCGATTGCAAGATCCTTGTGACGCCAAAGATAGAGACTATAGTACCGCTTCAATTAGTCGGCAGATGCGGAGGATTTAGCGATTCCCAGCGAGGAGGATTATACCCCTGAGAATCCTACAGACGCTATATTTAGCTATATATTACCACTCGAACTATCGATTCTCAAGATGACTTAGGAATTTCGAATCCAATCTTCTAGACTATCATTGTTAGTCAAGTCCACTCAGACGAGAACTGTAAATGCTAGATATGAGCATCTCGTTGGTAGAAACCGATTCTAGTCGCACTCTATGGCGCTGCTGCGGGGTTTCAAGGACAGATTGATCTTCATGATTACGGATGGGATCTTTTGTACCAAGTATCTCCCTTCAACCAGTCTTAGAAAGATCTTTCCGGTCGATTCGCGGAGGTGGCAACATTCGAGTATGCCAACTCTCTTAGCTGCATACTTTTTGTTTCGCACTTGTCTATACTATAATCATACCTTGTCTCAAATAACCAACGCATTAATATCATTACCTACCGAATGGACCAAGATCACAGATCGTCATTCAATAAGAGATTGGCTATAAGCAATGTACGCATAAATGCCTTGATACAGTTCGATCCACAAACCCCATCTTACTTTAGATATTATCAAACCTGCCGCCATATCATGATAATATACAAAGAGACCCCGCAACAAAAAACAGAAAGATCTATTAGAAAGCAAGAAGCGTGATCAGATCAAACCTCGATAATCAACCTATCTTCATTCCTCAATTCTCTCCACTTATTCGAAGCCTCAACGATTTCATCACAGCCCTTCAACAAGAAGCCCCACTTCCTCGCGAACCCCTCTGTAACTTCCCATCCACTTGCATGCCACGGATCATTCCAGACCAGCATCCCCTTCTCATTCAAATCGTTACAATCTTCAAATAGACCTCCGCACAGATCCCTACACAAATCATCTTCATCAACTTCATGGAAAGTAAGCATGGCATTGTTTCGCATTTTCGGACACGGAAGTACATCTATCCGTTGGGGGTGAGGAGTGCTGAGTTGTAATGGGGTCGGGGATAGAGAGGGTGGAATGGTGGAAGGGGCTGGGAACATAGGGGCGCTGAGAATGTTGCGGCACTCAGAGGAAGTGGTGTGAGGTAGGTTTAGAATGGACGAGTTCGTCAAGCAAGCGCGGAGAACGTTGTATTGAATAAGTGTGAGAAGGTGATCCAGAGGCAGTGGGAATGTTAAATCTGGTACCTCTGAAGCTTGATTTATGTTTGCGAGCTGCTGCTCTAGAGGCTTCGCTGTGGGTGCAGAGTTTTGAGCTGAAGTAGGCTGGGACTGTGGCTTCCATATAACGAACTGGTCTTTCGGAGTGGACTTTGCCTCAAGTGCCTTGCGTCTTCCTGTGGCCAAGTCAGCTACGTTACTGCCGAATCCAAATGTTTAAGAAATTCTCTGAGAGACTCTTATAAACTTAGGTTAAGATGAGGTTTGTCCGAGAATGGCCATGGTATCTGCAGTAGTAAAGGCTGACTATACTTCTTTTCAATGCCATTGAAATGTTACCAGATGTAGAAGATGTATAGGGAGGAATGATTTAAAACTTCTGCGATTATGGAAGTTTTTTGATGCTTTACGCGTGTAAAGCACAGAATTTATCTGACGTATTACATACTGAACGCTCTAATATTTAAACGGTTTTGTCGCTTTCTCCTTTCCTTCGCATTTGTTGTACCCGTCCAATCATCCTCGTCCTTTTTAGCCTTTGAGTTGCAATCAGCATTTTTAGAATCCAAGTAGTGATCAGAAGGGATAGTATCTACCTCGGCCAGCTGATTCATTGGCTCTACTCTAAAAGAAAGGTTCTGCGTGGTATACATGGTTTCTGTTTGATGTGAATTTCAAATAGTTGAAGCATGCCAAGCAGAAAATAAGCAGTTGGGGAAATAATAGGAGTGATTTTTTTCAATTTGCTTACAGTTTTTCGATCAATAGAGCGAATTATATACTAACAATTCCACCACCCCTGAAGAAGAGTTAAGGACGTCTCGGATGTAGGAATCATTACCCCGAGGGGGGCGGCTGGCGAGTGGATACTAAGCTTTTGATTGGTTGATGCATCTTGCTTACACAAATTCACCCAAATACAGTTTAGCCCTCATCCACACGAGCCACCAAACAAACAAGCCACTACACTTCACGGGTCCCATCCTTTCACAACGTTGTGGAAACGAAATGTTCATCTCGATTCTGACACCACTGCTTTTCTCCTCATCAAGGTGGCCCAGTGGCATCCATATGTGAGCCAGAGTTGGCCACTAAGTTATCGTCTGCTAGTATTGTTTGGGAAAGTAGCTTGTAAGCTGATGGCAGTAGAGATACCATGCTCAGGACTCACTGATTGAGGTTCAAGTGTTTAAGTATCAATACATTCCTCAAGTATAGAATCACTCATACCTCATTTGGCTCAATTCCAGCCATCTGTTTTTACAATCATCTTTAAGTATTCCGTGCAAGTTGCACCAAAAACATATTTCAGCCGATTCCAAATTCTCATTCCCTTTATTTCACTTCTAGTACTACTACTCTGATTTGACCTGTTTTATTTTTTGATCAAGTTGCCGTCATGGGCGGCATTAAAGATATCAATTTTAGGCCGGACAGAGATATACCTACTCTAACGGACAAAGTTATCCTGGTCACTGGAGGTGAGGATCTTAAAAGCTACCCTAGTCATGATTGTTCACAAAAGCTAACGGTAATCAAAGGCACAGCAGGACTTGGAAGTAATACAGTCAGAGTTCTTGCGAAACATAACCCATCACACATTTACTTTACAGGACGTAATGATAACGCGGCGTCAGCTCTCATAGAATTTATCAAGAAGGATGTCCCATCAGCGGATCTAACCTTTCTGTCTATTGATCTGTCTTCACTCTCATCAATCGCTGCTGGGATCAAAACGTTCAAGCATGATCGTCTCGATATTTTCATGGGCAATGCAGGTATCATGGCCGTACCTGCTGCTCTCAGCAAAGACGGATACGAAATCCAGTTTGCAACAAATCATCTCGGCAATGCTGCCGTTCTCCATCATTTACTACCAATCATGCTCAAGACTGCTGAGCTCCCCTCCTCCGACGTACGAATTGTACTGAATACTTCTTTGGGATGGAAGTTTCGTCCGAGTCAAGGCATCATCTTTGACAAATTGAAAACAGCCCAAGAGGATCTACCCTTTGGGACGTGGAGCCGCTACGGACAAAGCAAGGTAGCCAGCATACTGTATGCAGCAGAGCTTGCGCGTCGCTATCCGCAGATAACGTCTATAGCGATTCATCCAGGAGTTATCAACACGGGGCTTGTCTCGAACTTATCTTTTTGGCATAAATGGTTTGTTTATGCGACTACTGTGGGCCAAACAATAACAGTTGAGCAAGGCATTATGAATCAAACGTGGGCTGCCGCGGGAGCGAAAAAGGAAGAGCTGGTCAATGGCGCATATTACATGCCGGTCGGTGTTGAGAGCAATTCAACACTGGACGCAACGGCGGAGGATCCAAATTTGGCAAAGCAATTGTGGGAATGGACGGAAACAGTTTTGGGGAATTGAATGGGAATTCCTTTAGCATAAGGCTTCATTTTAGTTGCCATGTTAAGTGTTGATTTTATTCATGATGGCGCAGATACCAATTTTTCTGTTCCTAAAGTCGAGAGGTCTTTATTCATCTATTCGCTAAGGTAATATACAGTATAGGTATCTTCTATATACCCATCTATTTCGTCAGGCCATCCCCCACTTGATCATTCCGATATCAATCCATTCGTCCAGAAACGTGAATCCCCCGTTGAAACCATGCACCCATGGAAACTTTTATTTTGTACGCCCCTCATATCCGTATATCTGTACATCGTAATCCATTCGCCGTGGAACTGTGCCAAAGATGTTTGTGCCCCATTATATCTTCGTGGCATTTATCTCGTCAGTCATCCACACATTTTCGACACTGTAATACCTTAAGTCCTCTAGTCATCTTCATGCATCCCCTTTACTTCTTATGTCTATCGGCCTGTGCCTTTTCGTAGTTGGAAATGAGCTCTTTTCTGAATGATGTATTAGCATGGGTTGTATTATAATAACGGTGAAACAAGAAATTACTTACTGTAGCTGTCCTGGCGCAGGAGCATAATGACTAAATTCCATACCAAACTCTCCCTTTCCTTGCGTAGCTGCTCTCAATTGCGAACTAAATCCGAACATAGCGTTCAAACTACAATCCGCAATAAGAGTGAAATCTTCTGGTCCAATCTCCGTATCACTGATGATAGCGTTTCTCTTATTCAGCAAACCAACAATGTTACCTTGGAACTCATTAGGTGCTGTAATGGTAGTCTTCATGAGAGGTTCAAGAACTTGTGGTTTGCCTTCTTTGAAAGCTTTTCGGAAAGCTTGTTGAGTGGCATTCTTGAAAGCCATTTCAGAAGAATCAGTCATATGGGTTGCACCATCGTTAACAACCATATGGGTACCAAGAACAGGGTGACCGAGAAGAGGACCCTTTTCACATGAGGCGAGGAATCCCTTTTCGCAAGCAAACAAGAATTTGTCAGAAATGGAACCTCCAGTGACTTCTTCCTTAAAAGTTGATGGAGCATAACCATTTTGACCAGGTTCGATAGGTTCCAAGAAACCAACTACACGAGCATAATCACCAGCACCTCCGGTTTGCTTCTTGAGGGTGTGATCGAATACCACATGTTCAGTGATGGTCTCTCTGTAAGCGACTTGAGGTTTACCGGTTTCAACTTCGACCTTGTACTCTCTTCGCATTCTCTCCACGTAAATATCAAGATGCAATTCTCCCATACCAGAGATAATGGTTTCCTGACTTTCGGCATCAACATGTACACGGAAGGTTGGATCCTCACGTTGAAATCTGTTCATAGCCTTACTGAAGTTGGATCCATCTTTGGTTGTCTTTGGTTTGATAGACAAGGAAATAACAGGATCTGGTACGAACATAGAAGACATAGAGTAAGGTAGACCACCGTCGGTAAATGTATCTCCAGAAGCACAATCAACTCCAAACACAGCACAGATTTCTCCGGCTCCAATTTCGGGAACTTCCTCCATCTCATTAGAATGCATTCGCACAATTCTGGGGATCTTGACTCTCTTATCGGTTCTAGCATTGAACACGTTCATGCCCTTTCTTAAGGATCCTTGGTAAACTCGAATATAGGTCAATTGACCATAATTACTTTCTTCAAGCTTGAAGGCCAAGCCGACGAATGGTAGCTCATTATATGAGACAAGCTTCACGGGGGCTTCAGCTCTTCGCTTGTCAAGCGCCAAATTCTCGACCTCAGCAGGGTTTGGTAAGTAATCGCAGACTGCATCAAGCATGGGTTGCACTGACTTGTCAGCTAAAGCACTTCCCATCAAGACGGGAGTGAACTTCAAGTTGATAGTCGCCCGTCTGATAGCAGCCTTCATTTGCTCGATAGATGGAGTTTTCTCATCCAAGAAAATCTCGGCGATCTCGTCATCGACATCGGCCAATGTTTCGATCAACAGAGCTCTCTTCTCTTGGCACAATTTCTTGAGCTCCTCTGGGATTTCATCAGTCTCTCTGATGATTTCTCCTTTGGGCCCATCGTTGTAGATAGCCTTCATCCTGATCAAATCAACGACACCATTGAAGCTATCCTCTGAACCAATGGGGACTTGAAGTGCCGCCGCTGGGATTCGTAATTTTTGATTGATCTGCTCGACAGCCTTGAAAGGATTGGCACCCATTCTGTCCATCTTGTTGATAAAACTGATACGAGGAACATTGTATCTTCGCATTTGTCTGTCCACAGTAATCGTCTGACTTTGAACTCCACTAACAGCGCAAAGAATCATGACAGCTCCATCTAATACTCGCAAAGCTCTTTCGACCTCAATTGTAAAATCGATATGTCCAGGGGTATCAATCAAATTTATATGATATTTCTCCTCCTTTCCGTTCTCAACCTTCAACCAGTCGCAGAATGTAGCGGCAGACTGAATTGTAATACCTTTCTCTCTCTCCAATTCCATGGAGTCCATCTTTGCGCCGACTGCATCCTTTCCTCGGACTTCGTGAATAGCATTGATTCTTCCAGTGTAAAAGAGAACTCGCTCTGTGGCGGTTGTTTTGCCACTGTCGATGTGTGCTGCGATACCAATGTTTCTGACCCTCCTCAATCGATCCCTCTCTGCGGCATTTAGATTGTCGACAATGGCTTCCTGGGTGAGGGCTGATGGATCTGCGGCAGCCTTTTCTAACACTGCTTGGGCAACACCAGCTCTAACAATTGGCGATTGAGAGAAATGTCTCTTTCCTCCTAATCTGGCACCGAGAATCGCATTTCTTGCTCCGAGCCCTTGCACCGGTGAATTCAAGCACAAAAATCTTGCTCTAGGGACACTCCCACGTAGCGCTCCAGCGCAAGCTTCCGTTGAAGCCACAGCGCGGGCTACTCTATGCATACTCATGTTTGCTATTGGATTGTGGTATCATTCATCCATTCGATAACATGCGTAACTTTTTTTTATCGATTGAATATATCGGAGTAAGTTTAGCCGAGCCCGTTCACAATCATTTGAGGATGGACTTGCTTCTGGAAAGCTATTGTAGACTTTTATTAGATGATCTAGAGTTTGACACTGCCTAATGTATACAAAAGCAGTGCTTCTCGAAAGACAATCTAATGTCTTGAATATCTGCATATCATTTTATTAGGGAGTTTTCTTAAAGAAGTGATATTCTGAATCGCTTACATAATAGCAATCTACATTGAAAGCATGACAGCGCGTCAAACAATCATGCCTTTCGCGTTTCTTACAATCGCCACGAGTCGAGCATGGGCATCGAGACATGGCATCGGAAACAACTCCAGAAAGGGACGAGAATGAGCACAAGTCTCTCAAATACTCACTGCTAGGCCCTTCTCTTACAAAATCTGGACAAGATTCTGTAGATCAGTCAAAGGTACGTGGCGACCGAAATATGTTTGTGGTCTCTCTAACTTTATCACCAGGTTTCCGAAATCATCTACAATGCTTCGAAGGGGTCCAAATATTTCAATCATGAGGAGGAAAGAGATAAGACTCTGACAGTAAAGATTGAACGAATTTTAGGAAAGAAGGCTGAATTGGAGAAGCTTGATTTGGCTCACGATCGTCGACGAGCAGACACTGCGATTGCAGAGCTCGAACTCACAAGAGATCTGACTCAAACAATCGTCCATATTGATTGCGACGCTTTCTACGCTGCAGTAGAGGAGCTTGACCGTCCGGAATTGAAAGATGTTCCGTTTTCTGTTGGGAAAGGAGTTGTCACAACATGCAATTACCACGCGCGGCGATTTGGGGTCAGAAGTGCGATGGCGGGGTTCATTGCGAAGAAGTTGTGCCCACAACTAATTCAGGTTCCTCTGAATTTCGATAAATATACCGCGAAGGCACAAGAGGTCCGGGAAATTTTGGTAGACTATGATCCACGGTTCGAGAGTGCTAGTATTGATGAGGCATATCTTAACATCACGGAGTATTGTCAAAAAAATGATATCGACCCGGAGACTGCTGTTGAACAGCTGAGGAGAGAGGTTCATGAGAAAACGAAGGTTACCATCTCTGCTGGAATCGCAGCCAATGCTAAGATAGTGAGTACAATCTGCAATTTTATAAGTCAGCGGTATGACGGGCGAGGCGAGACGCTATTGTCATCCACCCGTTGCTGTAGAATCTGAGAATGAATTTAGATATCAATATACTGACTAAATATGATTAGGCTAAAATATGCTCAAATTATAATAAGCCTAATGGTCAATATGGTGTTGCAAATAATCGAATTGAGATTATGAAATTTATGCGAGACCTTCCAACTCGTAAAGTTAACGGTATCGGACGAGTATTCGAAAGAGAACTAGGTGCCATAGGCGTCAATACATGCGGAGATATCTACAATGTGCGACACTATCTACCCAAATTGTTTGGAGAAAAGGCGTTCATTTTTCTAATGCAATGCTATCTTGGACTCGGGAGAACAGACGTCAAACCGGCCGAGGAGTATACCCGCAAGAGTGTTGGCACAGAAAGCACATTCAATGAAATGAATGATGCTACAGAACTTAGAAGCAAACTTCGACATACAGCTGAGGAGTTAGAAAAAGACATGCAACGAACACAGTTCAAGGGGCGTACTCTAGTTCTCAAAGTCAAACTAAAAACTTATGAGGTGCTTACAAGACAGGCGGCCCCGCCAAAGGCTGTGTTCTCAGCCGATGATCTGTACAGATATTCTCTTCTCATGCTTGAGAAACTGGAGGCGGAGATGCCGGGTTTGACATTACGATTGATGGGGCTCCGGTGTACAAATTTGATCAGCATGAAAAAGCCCGACACGATGGCTTTCTTCGGATTTAAAAATAAAGACTCACGGGAGAGTGATGTTAGCGAAAATGAACGCAAATCTTCCTCTACAACAAAACGAAAAGCATCGGATCTTCAAGACAATGATTCCGAGGAGCGATGGGAAGTTTGGCCTGAAGAACTCCTCTTCGAAGATGCCGAGCGTCAAGAAC